ACTGGAACAAGAAAGCAGCGGAGAAGTAACGGGGCAGAAACCCTCCTTTTTACACAGCGGTCCAGACATAAACACCAAACGGCAAAACGTATTCAGTGTACAGTTCCTTTGGCATTATGGCAGGGATATCTAAATACTTTCCAAGGTTTGACATAATGAATTGTGCTACTTTTAAAGCAAGCAACGATGTTTTGTCAAATCTGTAATCAAAGAGGTCCGCAAAAACGCTATCAACCAATCAGATTGCTTGATTTGACTTGTCAGTTTTATAAATATATTTACATTTCTTCCGTTACGAAACAAACTTACAAAGCATAAAATGGAAACATTTAAGATTAACTTCGACCTCCGGGGGGGTCTTACTATAGTATGGAGGAGTGGATTGAGCAGTGCCTATCTCCAGAAAAAAAGCACCTAAACGACGACATGCAGAGCTACGTGAAGAGCAGGTAGACCAACTGGAAAAGTACCGCCATTCAAAAGCTTTCTGATGCGGGTCTTGAAACAAAGCAGAGAAATTATGACCGTTAGTGGCCACAGGTGCGAAAGCTCTCTCCAGACCTACTGGAAGCCAAATCTCGGGGACCGGAGAAAGTGGAGCAATATTCTCGCCACGCCAAGCAACAGCCTCAAACAACCTCAACCTATACAAGTGACCACGTAAGCCATGCTACTGATGCTGGACAGTTTTTCAGTGGATGCACAATAAACAGCAACATACACATTAATGTAAANCCTGTAGCGTGTTCTCTAACACAGAAAATACCTCCCCAAAACGCCTCGTTGGAGATACGTCACTGTCCATTGATTTTTCCGGGTAACGCATGATGTCGTTGACATCATGCGTTACCCGGAAAAATCAATGGACAGTGACGTATCTCCAACGAGGCGTTTTGGGGAGGTATTTTCTGTGTTAGAGAACACGCTACAGGGTGTACTTTGAGGGTTTGTGACTCTGCAGACCGTTTACATGCATAAAAACCTTCATAACACAGAAGGGGACGGGTAATAACCAGAAAAGCATGAAATGGGACCTTTAATAGTTTGGAATGGAATGGTACAGAGGAAAAAAATATGTAAAATGTTGATATATACACACACACAAAAAAAAATAACTTCAGATCATAAGCAGACTTACCCTTATACTGTATTATAAATGTCTCATTACACACATAGTGTTTTATTTTTTGCACACAAAAAAACATTACAATTAATCTCAATATTCATATTTATATTTAAATGCTAAATGAAAAAACTGAGCTGTATTTAAAATAGTTTAATAAGTGTACTGGAACTATATTGGCATCAAATCTGAAGAAGCCTGTGTTTTTGATATAAACATAGTTAGGTACTGCACAGAGCTCCGGGGATGAAACTGTCCCTGAGTCTGCCGGTCTTGGTCCAGGTTCTGGTGGCTCAAGTGTTTCCAGTCCTCTCAACCCCCGTCTGTCTCTTGTCTCTATAACAGGGGACTCAAATCTACGATGCCAAGCGTGGGACCCTGGTGGATCTGGGCATCCTGGACGTCATGCAGATCTTTGGACGTGCAGGTCGTCCGCAGTTTGACAAGTACGGTGAGGGCACCATCATCACCACCCACGACAAACTGAGCCACTACCTGACCCTGCTCACCCAGCAGAACCCCATTGAGAGCCAGTTCCTGGACAGACTGGCCGACAACCTGAACGCTGAGGTCAGTCCTAGAGTGACCTCATCACAGATCTAGTGTGTGTTTTACCAAGACAGAAATCACCTTCGGGGGTTTTTCAGCCCTCATTACATCATATCATTAATTACAACGTGACCTAAAAAATGTAAGTCAAGACAAAATAATGAGTTAAATGTATTAAAAAAGAAGCAATAAAATAAATGTAAGATAGTAGCTGTAGTTTGTTTGTTGATGTGTGATTATATATCATGTCCTATGGAGTTTGTCATTCATAATCTGATAAAGGCTTCATTGTGAGCACATTGTCAGACCTGTTCTGTTTGGATGACAAACACATGGATTTTTTTCAAATGCAACTCTCTTCCCACTGTTCAGTGCCACGAACAGATTCATCTCAAGACAGTCTTCAGTCTGACCAGTGTGATGGTCCAAAGCATGCTGTAGAATTAAATAGTCTCACAGTTAGGAAGAGTAGAAGAAAAAAAAAAGTTTGTGTTGAGACTGCAGTATCTGGAGTGTCCACTAGATGGAGACAGAGACTGATGTGTTGCTCTCTCCTGACTCAGATCGCTCTGGGGACCGTCACCAATGTGGAGGAGGCTGTGAAGTGGCTCAGCTACACCTACCTGTTCGTCCGCATGAGGGCCAACCCACTGGCATACGGCATCAACCACAAGGCCTATCAGGTCAGGGGTTCTATGTGTCTGTCTGTCTGTCTGTCTGTCTCTCTGTCTCTCTGTCTGTCTATCTGTCTATCTGTCTATCTGTCTATCTGTCTATCTGTCTGTCTGTCTGTCTGTCTGTCTGTCTGTCTGTCTGTCTGTCTGTCTGTCTGTCTCTCTCTCTCTGTCCGTCTGTCCGTCCGTCTCTCTGTCTGTCTGCCTCTTTCTGTCCGTCCGTCCGTCTGTCTGTCTGTCTCTCTGTCCGTCCGTCTCTCTGTCTGTCTATCTGTCTCTTTCTGTCCGTCCGTCCCTTTCTGTCCGTCCGTCTGTCTGTCTCTCTGTCTGCCTCTTTCTGTCCGTCCGTCTGTCTGTCTGTCCGTCCGTCTGTCCAACAGGGGAGATTCAGCTCTTCACTCTTGTCTTTTTGAAATGAACAAACGCACAAACAGGACCTATAGACAGGCAAAAATACAGAGATGGCAGAGCGAAGGGCCTGCCAATGGGAGCAGTTGAGGGCCTTGCTCAAGGACATCTCAGCAGTGCCCAGCAAATGAATTGGCACCTCTCCAGCTACTAGTTCACATGCTGTATATTGATCTTATCTGGGCTTGAACTGGCACCCTTCAGTTTCAAAGCCTAGTCCCTACAGACAGAGCTACTATTCACCTGTCTATACCTGGTCTAATACCAATGAACTCATTTATAGAAACCAATAGCATTTTAAAAGGTTAAAAGAACAAGGTGGCAACAAATATTCTGATGATCCCATTTTTTTATTCTTAAGTACATTTTTCTCTCCTGAATTCATGAACAGGTAAAACAACATTTTTGCCGGTATAATATTTTTTATGGGGTTCATTTTGTTCTCATTAGTGGAAAGAAAGACCTAGCTAGCTATAACCTTTTTATAACTTATTTTTTTATATGTTTGGTGAAAGATCAACAATCAACATCAGGATTTTTGACGGTCACTGCAGTTATGTAAAATTGTTATCCAATTTCAATCTAATATCACGCTTAACTTAATTGTGACCGTTACTGCCACTCGTGTTTTCATATTTCAAAGGTTCTAATTGTATTATTTGAAGTTATTTCTGCTATAAAAAATACAGTTGTTTATCGGTGTAATTAAAAAACAGTAATTGCATAAACAGCAGGTTTAAGTGCAGCCTTACAAAGAAAAGAGAAACCAATATGCAACACGGACTTAACATATCTTAAAATAACAGTGGTGTTCACATGTTTCAGATGGACCCCTCCCTGATGCTGTACAGGAAGGAGCTGGTGGTGGAGGCCGGCAGGAAGCTGGACAAGGCCCGCATGATCCGCTTCGAGGAGCGCACCGGGTACTATGCCTCCACCGACATGGGCAGGACCGCCAGCCATTTCTACATCAGATACAACACCATCGAGGTACACTCACTGCTCCATCACATACTACACCATCAGATACTACACTCACTGCTACATTACATTACATGTTACTTGTTAGACGCTTTTATTAAAAGCGACTTCCATACTCAATACTGTGGGCAATCCCCACAGGAGCAATTTGGGGTGAAGTGTCTTGTCCAGGGACACAACGACACGCTGACTGCAGTGGGACTCGTTTTCATCAATCAAACTTTGCATCACTGTGTCAGACATAATGACATGTCCTAATTAAAACTCTATTAACTTGTTATATATGTTTCCCCCTCCTCTGAAGACCTTCAATGAAATGTTCAACTCTCAGAGGACAGAAGCAGACATCTTCAGCATCGTGTCCAAGGCTGAGGAGTTTGACCAGCTGAAGGTGAGAGGTCATCAGCTTAAGTCAGAGCTTCAGTCAGAACTTCAGTCAGAGCTTCAGCCAGAGCTTCAGCCAGAGCTTCAGTCAGAGCTTCAGTCAGTCTTCAGCCAGACCTTCAGCCAGAGCTTCACGGTACGTCCACATGGCAGCGTCACGTTGAAGCTTGCCGGTGGGCGAGCTTCAACGGCCGGTGTCGTGTGGATGTACCATCGCGTGCTTCAACGGAGACGCTTCCCATCCACTTTGAATGGGGTGACATCACGCTTTGCCGAACTGCATTGTGGTTCCGTCACGTCACTTTTGCCTCTGTTGCTCGCTTCGAAAGTTGAGAAAAGTTCAACTTTTCAAGCGTCGACGGAAGTGCCAGCCAATCAAACCATATGCCAGTACAAGCACTAGCCAATCAAACCGTGTGCTTGTGTGTCCGGGGCGGGAGATTAATGTGATTGGTTGTTGGTCCACGCCAGACACGCCCACCGGCAAGCTTCAACGTACCGTTAGTCAGTCAGAGCTTCAGTCAGAGCTTCAGTCAGAGCTTCAGTCAGTCAGAGCTTCAGTCAGAGTTTCAGTCAGTCAGAGATTCAGTCAGAGCTTCAGTCAGAGCTTCAGTCAGAGCTTCAGTCAGAGCTTCAGTCAGTCAGAGCTTCAGTCCAAGCTTCAGTCCGAGCTTCAGTCAGTCAGAGCTTCAGTCAGAGCTTCAGTCAGAGCTTCAGTCAGGCAGAGCTTCAGTCAGTCAGAGCTTCATTCAGGCTCTGAGGTCTCTACAGCATATCTCATCCGTAGTCCTGGTTCTGATCCAAAGTATTGTGTGTGTGTGTGTGTGTGTGTGTGTGTGTGTGTGTGTGTGTGTGTGTGTGTGTGTGTGTGTGTGTGTGTGTGTGTGTGTGTGTGTGTGTGTGTGTGTGTGTGTGTGTGTGTGTGTGTGTGTGTGTGTGTGTGTGTGCAGGTGCGTGACGAGGAGCTGGAAGAGCTGGACCAGCTGCTGAGTAACTACTGTGAGCTGCCGGCTGCGGGGGGGGGTGGAGAACGGCTACGGGAAGATCAACGTGCTGCTGCAGACCTACATCAGCCGGGGGGAGGTGGACAGCTTCTCCCTCATCTCTGACCTGGGCTACGTGGCTCAGGTGAGGGACAGCACACACACACTTCAATATATCAGATATTTCATAATAATAATATAATGTTTTAGTGTATGTTATTTAAAACATTAACCTGGTTAAACAAAGATTTAATAATTCCAATAAATATATATTTATACTATAACATAAACTAATAAATATATTAAAACATTGTTTAAGCCATGCTTTCACTTTGAACTTAAAGGTCCCCTATTATACTGTTTTTCATCAATATATTATAGGTCTCAGATATATACAAAACATGTCTCTGAAGTGTTTGGCTCAAAACATCAAACAGATCACTGCAGCATCCCATAATCCCCTCTGTTTCAGCCCTGTTTCCAAAGTTCTGATTCTCTGTCTGTTACTTTAGNTTACAGCTATGTGCCGGTTTTTGACTCATTGCACTGGACCATGTATGCAAGGCCTCTATTGATGGTTGCTTGGCCCCTCCCTCTTTTCTAATGTTTATACTGTGGTATAACCCCTCCATAGCGTATGTGCCCTTTTGTCGGGACCCCTGGAGGGTATTGCCTGCTGATTAATTGCTTCCAAAATGAGTCTGTTTAAGGCGACTCCGACGTTTACGGAACCCCTCCATTATGGGCCTTTGTTAACGCCCATCTTTGGCTCTCAGCCTTGTCGCGGGACTATGCTAACCAGTAGACCGAGGGGGGGGGGCGTGGCTTTGCGGAAAGGTCAATTTATGACTGGTCCCATTTTTGGTGACATTATTCTCTTCGTTCAGCTTCAGTTACTATAGCTGGGCCCTCTGGTGAATCAGGTAGCTGGGACCGCCCTGGACGTCCAACAGCCTCCTCTTCTCGCAGACACGAGCTTCTTTTTTTAACTCTCTTCACTTCCACACTAAACTGAAACTTAGGCTCGTTCGGCAAGGATTCTTTATTGGGAAATGTTATTTTATAAATATAATCAAGTATGAAACTAATGAAAAAAATTATAAAAAATATTAAAAAAAATTAATTATGTAGTATATTTAATGTGAAATTATTTGTTAGAATATCTTTAGGCCTCACAGAAGGGGCCTAGGAGGCCCTTGGATCGCCGTCACTATAAACAATGTACTAAATGTCTGAGTAGGCCCTTATCTCGTAACATCCCATTCTGTCCACCCAATCGTCTTTACTCTCAATGACTTGTCAGGCATTTGTTAACATAGATAACTTGATCAGGACTAACAGGATTGCTGCAAGCAATTACTATATTCTCATCTGTTATCCTTTGATTTTTATTCAGCGCTGCTTTATATCACTTTTTTTTATTTGAATAATAAATGCCATAAATTTGATGTTTTTTTTATATCATATCAAACTTTGGAAAAAACTCTTATGTGCCCGCGGAAACGTAAATAAAACAGCCATTGGGTTGTTTTTAAATCGGAGAAATATATTTTATTTTGTTAAGAAACAATAAAGACAAGATTATAATATACTCTAATTATTCTCCTCCAAACGTAATATAATTATACAGTTGGCAAGAAAAGTATGTGAAACCTTTGCGAATGTACCTGGATTTCTGCCATAAGTTGCGTCATAAAGATGTGTTCTGATCTGCACGGTTTGAAGTTTGCAAAGAGCCACCTGTATGCTTCCACAGCCCTACTGGGGCCCAAAATATTCTGTGTGGACAGATGAAACCAAAGTGAATTGTTTGGAAGGACACACAATGCTATGTGTGGTTTTGAGAAAAAAAAGCCACAGCCCACCAACATCAAAAACCTCATTTCCCACTGTGAAGTATGGTAGAAGGGATCATCAATGGGTTTGGGGGCGCTGCTTTGCTGCCTCAGCGTGGCCTGGACAGATTGCCATCATGGAAGGAACACACAACGCTATGTGTGGAGAAAAAAAGGCACAGCACACCAACATCAAAACCTCATCCCAACTGAGAAGTATGGTGGAGGGAGCATCATGGTTTGGGGCTGCTTTGCTGCCTCAGGGCCTGGACAGATTGCCATCATCGACAGAAAAATGAATTCTCAAGTTTATCAAGACATTTTGCTGGAGAACTTAAGGCCATCTGTCCACCAATTGAAGCTCAACAGAAGATGGGTGATGCAACAGGACAACGACCCAAAGCACAGAAGTAAATCAACAACAGAATGGCTTCAACAGAAGAAAATAGGCCTTCTGGAGTGGCCCAGTCAGAGTCCTGACCTCAACCCAATTGAGATGCTGTGGCATGACCTCAAGAGAGCCATTCACACCAGACATCCCAAGAATATTGCTAAACTGAAACAGTTTTGTAAAGAGGAATGGTCCAAAATTCCTCCTGACCGTTGTGCAGGTCTGATATGCAACTATAGGAAACGTTTGTTTGAGGTTATTGCTGCCAAAAGAGGGTCAACCAGTTATTAAATCCAAGGGTTCACATACTTTTTCCACCCTGCACTCTGAATGTTTACATGGTGTGTTCAATAAAAACATATAATTGTTTGTGTGGTTTTAGCTTAAGCAGACTGTGTTTGTCTATTGTTGTGACTTAGATGAAGATCCGAACACATTTTATGACCTATTTATGCAGAAATCCAGGTAGTTCCAAAGGGTTCACATACTTTTTCTTGCAACTGTACTTCCCTCTTAATGTCCCTTCCTCTCTGTGAGCAGGGGCCCTGAGTTTGGGGCTCGAGGAGGGGGCCTCTCTGCAGTCAGGTGCCATGGAGCTCCCCTGGCAGGATGAGCTGTGCTGTGACTCACCCTCAGCCCACCTCACTAAGGAGGGAGAAAGCACACACACACCGGAGACAAACCGCTCTGATTCAAACCCCCCGCACCATCCCCTCTGCAGCTTCAGGAGCTCCACAACCAGATCACACCCTCCTGATCCCTCTGGAGGTGAGAGTTCATTCAATACTGGTATCCAATATGTTTATTAAAAAAGCAAAAACGTATGTGAGTTGCTTTCATCCTGGTTGACAAGACCCGGTTGAAAGAGTTAGTGCACGGGAATTAATATATCTCACTCAATATCTGTATTTTCATATATTGAAATCAAGTATGAACAAATGAATATCAAACTCTGCCAGTCAGGATTCTCAATGGCTGATCAAATTAACATCAGGCTTCCAATCCAAACTAAGGATAATCTAATTTTTTTTTTCAGTGAGTCTGGTTTTGTTTAACAAGCTGTACTGACTGTTTTGCATTATATCAACTGACATGCAGTGTGGCACCTTTAGGTCCCTTCCTTCATTTTAATCCAGGGCTTTGTACACTGCGTCGGTGTTACATGTCTTCAGAAAGACAATTAACAGACACATTATTAAACTAGCCTTTTTTTATGCATCAAGGTAGCAGATTAATAAGACCGACAGAGACTCAGAACGATTCTCCATACATTCAGATGCTTAATCTTTTGTTGGGAGAATTTTTAACTTGCCACATGAAAAATTCAGTGACAGGTTTTTAGGGGCTCCTGAGGTATAATATAGACTTGGTCCCAAATGCAGATAATAAAATAGAAAGCACATTTCTACTGCTTAGGAATCACTGCATTGGCACGTCAAGTCTGAGTTGGATGTAAATCATGATGTGCTGAAACATCTTATATCAAATAAACTATAATGATACCGCACTAGCTATATACACTGAAACTAAAGCTGTTTTTATACAATTTAGAGGTATCCTTTGAAACTTCAGAGGTGTTACACATCCGTATTTTGATGAGTGGGTCCCCATATTGTTGGCACACAGTTTCATGCTTGACATCAGAAAATAAGTATAGGAGAACATTGAGCCCTGTCCGTTTAAAAGCAAACATGAAGGTAACACACTTTTCATTCCAAGTAGCAACAGGGTGGTTGTGTAATGTGGCTCATCAGAACAAACAGCAGGGTGTGTGAAGGAGCCTCACGATTCACCATTCTTCTTGCAGTGTCATCACTTGTCACTGATAGATGTGCCTCCAAAGATCAGCCTGACAGATTCATTACACTTTAAGCTTGCTCCCCCTCCTCCCTCTGATCAGCACAGCATTAAACTATCCGTTTCATATTCATCTGGGGAGTTGTTCAGCATCACTGTGTTCTCTAGCAGGAGGAGAAAGTACGCAGGTCTTTAAGTTTAAAGAGCAAATGGGGGGCCTTTCCAAGTGAGTCATAATTATAAAGTGCTCTCTTGATATTATCAGCGTGGAGATGGAGATGAGATTATATTGAGAAAGGAGAGGGAGGTGTGGAGGATTTGTTTGTTTTCATCGATCTGTGTGGTGCAGGGGGACATTTGAATCAATGGTGATTAGCTGAGACCTTCAAGATTCATCCCCAAGCAATGATGATCAAATGGAGAAGTTGTAGACATACTCCTTATATGCCTCCTTTCTGCTTTATGAGTCAGGTATGACACAGCTCCCAAAGGTCCCAGAGCGTTACGCTCATTCATATTCTTCGGTTAGCCATATTCATTTTATTTATCATTCTGTTGGTTTAAGTACCAAATTGTCTTTAAGATAGGTGTGGGTTAATAACGTGAGAAGGCTGAGATTGAACAAAAGAGCTTTTTTAAATAACAATTTATTTTATAGAATAAAACGTTTTGTATAAGCATTCCTGGTTACGTTTTGTCCTTATTCAACCTACAAACATGAATACACATCCTTTCCTGAGCTTAAGCTTGCTGAACATGTGTAAACTGCGCTACTAATGTCAGTTAGTGTGCTAAATAGCTTTTCAGCTGCAGGACTTTGCAACAGTGTGCAAGCGGATCTGTTAATGTCCCTTGGGTCCGGTTAGATGCTGATGGAAACTTTACTCTTTAATGCTACTGAAAACACACCCATGACATGCTGAAGCACATCTGTGTTTACCTCATCTCTAAAAACACTTAATATTCTTTTAGTCCACTACTTTGGACCAGCCGGAAATATCTTAACACACATTTTAACAATACTAATGTTGTGCAAAACGTGTGACATTCCCATAATTCCCAGGTCTACCTTGTATTAAGTGCTTATTATGAAATGTCAGCTCAAAAGCTACATTCAGATAATAAAAATGGTAAACGAAACCTACTGCTCAAAAGCGTGTATGAATACTTTATTTATATTCTGCCAATAGATCCCCCAAATCCCATGCACTGGTCCTTTTTTAATGACGTTTCCAGACAGGAACCGTACCTCAGCATGGATGCTTGCAGCTCTAATATTTCACTGTTCTCAGAATATGAAGCTAGTCTGTTTCTCAGAAGCCCTTATTTGAAGGTCACAGTCAACAAGTGTAAATCACGTGGAGATGTCTCTCAACGTGCTCCTAACGTGCAAATCTGATTTCTTGTCAGGCACCTGTTTGGACATTCTGTGCAAAATTGATGAGAACTGGGAAAATCTAATATGTGAACTTCAGTCACACGGCCCACCATCAACCACAAAGGCTGCTGGTGTCATGGCAATTAGCTTACAGAGTGTGTCGTAAGTATGAAACTTCACCATTTCTGTGTGTGTGTGTGTGTGTGTGTGTGTGTGTGTGTGTGTGTGTGTGTGTGTGTGTGTGTGTGTGTGTGTGTGTGTGTGTGTGTGTGTGTGTGTGTGTGTGAGATCTGTTTCCCTTCTGCTCAGTGGGGGGCTAAGTATGCTGTGTTTATTTTGATCAGCAGTGGGGGAAACTGCATGATATAACAGGCTCCAGGCCTTTTTTGTTGCGGGATAAAGAGGACAATTCACCCCTGATCTCACACACTTTTGATAGGCCGGACATTTTTCAGCTTTTACATCTTGTACACTGCTCAGTTTTCGCTAAGTCAAAAAACATTTGAAAAAATGATTTCACCTCAAGGTCCATTTATTAACTGTTCTTTAGCTTCCAATCATGTCACACAATTTTCATTAGTACATACAATTGCACAGGTATGTACAGTAATGGTTGAAAGACTTGCCTTCAATGTTAATAACAAATTATACAGTATTTTTACTTTTGTCAGGTCGAAGAAAGAGGAGAATGATGGGAATACACCGTATGATAATCCTGTGATCTGCAAGGCGGAGGTTCCATTTATGTGCTCGGTTGTTCTTGACGCTACGACAAGCTTTGTTACCGTGGTAACTGTCAGCCTTAACGACGCCATCTCTCCCTCAGTTCTTCTCAGAATTCCTCCCCGACCTGGTAAGAGGAAATGTCTTTGTTTTATATCAGTAGGAAGTTGTAAGAGTCTGTTGTGGTGGAGGCATATACTGTACATTTGTTTTCTCTATGAACTTTAGGCCTTGCAGCTTTTTATGAAATGCATCTCTAAGGAGTAATCCTTGTTTTTTACCTTAATTAGAAAACTTTTGCTCTGCCGTAGCTACAGTTATGTTTGTGCTGCAGGTGTTGCATTGTAATGTATGAAATAAGTGCTATTGCACCTAATACAAATGTAAAACTGAATACTAGTAATTCACAGACTACCTACAAAATGGGTTTAGGCAAGTTCTAAATGATGGTATTGCCCAGTACACAATCTGGCAACATTAAACTTGTTCTTAACTGTTAAACATGTGTGAGGCATTATTTATTTATTATTAGTTTAGAAACAAAAACAATTGTAAAATAATAGTAATAATCAACTATTTGGTTACAAGTCATACATTATATTCAAAGTGTTCCTTATTAGAAAGTGGTACTGAGAAAAGCTTAACGTATTTGTTAAAACTGTGTGCTGCAATGCTGCATTGGGCACTTACTTGTATTATCGTTTAATCAGCCCAAGGGTCCGAGGTGAAGTCAACAAATGGTGTCGGGTTTTTAAAACTTCAAAACATGCAGCAATATAAGACCAAGAAAAACTGTTTACAATAGGGACCCTTGACATCATCAAATACTTTGCGTTAAGTCGATAAAAAAATGCTTGAATTATCATTAAAATTGTTAAAATGTCTTGCTCTAATTAATTGTTGCCGCTCTGAGGTTCATGCGTGTCTTTTTTATTTTCTGCCTTTTTAGATGATTTTTCCTAAGTGGTGCAGCTTTAGAGTATTTAACAGTGTTGTCAATTTGCATAATGAAAGGACATGCTTCATTATTTACAATAGATCTTTCTTCCTCTGTAACCATGAAAGTAAGCTCAAATTACTGAAGACTTTGTATTCAAATGTGATGAGGTTAGCGCTATGAAAAGAAAAGGGCAATTTCCTGTCTACCAATAGAGGGTAACATGTTTAAATAAGTCCTTACAGTACCTTCAGTGGTGGAAAAAAAGAAAGCCATTCTTTTAAATGATGTGACAGCAGTCTGGAAAATACATTATTCAGCTATTATTACTGTTTCTCTCCCAGTAGACATGTTTTATGAGACTCAATTGTCTCTTGTATATTTGTCATAATTCAACTTGTCTCAGTGAGTGACAGTAGATACAAGTCTGGGAGCTGGCCTCTAATATACACCTGTAATGATCAATAAGTCTAAATATTAAGCTTAATATACTGCCAAGAATAAATCATTGAATATTCAAAATATCCAACTGTATGTTTTGATTCAAAATCCACTTATTATTGGCTGACATTGAAGTGCATACTTTTCTTGCACTATGCAAGACTGAAAAGGTAAAGTGATTTTTTTTGTCAATATTTTTTACTAAATCGTGAGATGGATCTAATTTATTTTGATAATCCTGCCATAAGGAAGGAAGAAGTGAAGATGGGTCTTTATGAAGATAATAGTAATCACTGCAAAGGTCGCCTTTAGATGGGGAGTGCTGTTATATCATGGTTAATAATCTGTATTAAGTGACCTTAAATGCTGCAGAGCTTACTGTATCTTTAAATCCCAAACACATGCAAACTCAGATATTTTAATTTTAAGAGCAATATGTTGAAAATCCTTCTATTTCATATACAGTTCTAATAATCCATAGGATTTACAGGACATTATGATTAGCAGTAAACTGATCCTGCTGTGATGTCCTTCTGTTTGTGAGAGAATCTTTTATTTTTCTGTAGTGAGACCGAGTCCTCCAGTCAACCTGTCACACATCCAGACCATTAAGGCAGAACTGATACTGCAGTGGGACGACCCCCCCCACTCTGATACCGGTCGGCTGAGATACGAAGTCCGGCACTCTCCTAACACCACTCACCCGGCCTGGCAGGTAACATTCCGCTTTGATACAATATGCTCTTCTATCCAAGAAGTGACACCTTGCAAGAGTCTGCCACTGCACCCACTGAAAGTCATTTGATCTAAAAGCATTTGTAGCTTTTGATAATAAGGCATCTTTCATAAAGGGTCCATAAACATTTTTTTTTTGTTGCATTTTTGGTTCTTACAAATCACTTTATAGCTATTAGTAAGAACATTTGGATGTATGAACAAATGTTAATTAAGGTTTTGAGTGAAGGATCAAACTGTTTTACAACCTATCAACCCAACAATTGTTTTTATTATTGGCTTTACATAATATATAAATCCTCTGCAGCCACCAGTTACGAATTATCATTTTTTCTTAAGATTGTCTGATTGGATGTGGTACCAAAATGTCACTATTTAACTTTGAACAAAAAACAAAACTGGCTCAGTGATCAGCTTCATGCTTTCATTTAGTTTCAAACAGAATGTATTTGGTGGAATTTGCAAAGTATGCAAGATAAGCTTCAGAAAGAGAAGATAAAAAATACTGTGGATCTTGAAGAACTCATAGTCTATTGATAAGGTTGTTAAAGAGAAACTTTCACAAGTTAGTTTTAACCTCGAGTGAGTCATACATACACATACTGAATTGCCTTTCACTGCAACAGTAGTGCTTTCACGCAGTGAACCTTTCCACTAACAAGACATCGTGTTTATGTAGTGCGACGTGCCAACAGCCAGTCGGTTTTAATAGCCTCACAGAGCGCGCTCAGCATTAAACATCGTACTTAGTGTTCAGCAGTGGATCATAGGCTCTATGATTCATCCAGTCTGTAGTTCTTCTGTTTAAGACTCAAATATACAAGTAAAATAATATGTTCTCTCTTAACCCTCTATAAGAAGCTGTAGGTACCTCTTAAAGTAAGGTATAATGGTTTGAGAACTGTGTAGCAATGGCCATAATGTTTACATCTTATGATTTGGGAATCAACTTGAGCACCTTTCACTACCACACCTTCGATTTCATCCCAACCTCAGTTCTTAAACATTAGACTTGAGCTGAATAGCTACATTTCATCAAAGGAAATGTTCTCTTAGTTTTTCTCAAAGGACAACAATGTTTTGAGCCATTACAGCAGTTTTCTTTGTTTTAGCTTCAGTTTTTATTTACAATAATAACCCGGTGTGCAGGTGGTGTCTGTGCCAGAAGAGCCCAGGCTGTCTCTGGAGCTGAAGCCCGAACTGACCTACACCATCCAGGTCCGCTCCTCCGGCCTGGACAAGCCTCCACTGTGGAGCGAGTGGAGTGAACGTCACCACATCTACCTGTACTGTAAGCACCATTTCCTTACCGCTAGATAGAGACATACAAGGTGATATTTTTGATCTTGTACTCTAGTTCAAACTGAAAGTGTTGTTACATTATTACAGATGTTAGATGGGTTTTGTTGATGTTATGGAGAAGTTGCAGGCAGCTTAATACATGTATGAATATTAAGTAGCTGACATAATTTTACAATTACAATACCTGTTTGCATAAAAAACATAGTCTTTGTTGTGTCACTCTTATCACATCAGTTGCTCTTTGTTAGTTTGCGTGTTGTTTCAGAACTGACACAGCTGAACTGAGCTGAGAGGTTATCTGGGTATGTGTAGGCCCTTAAATCAGGATGTGAGATTACATTTTCTTTTTGTTTGCAAAGAGTTTGGCTAACTAACATTTTGAAACCGTCTGTGGTTCAACTGCTACGATCCAACACACTGTGGTAGATTTCCACAAATGACCTCATTATCTCTCAGGAAGATTTATGTTAATGCTAAACTATTCAAATGAAGGCAGCTCATTAGCTATTAATGAGGAACTCGTTCCAGTGTGGTCCACGTCAATAGACTGTGAACCAGAGGATCTCTAGGCTAGTTACAAGCTACAAATCATGTGGGGTGACACAGTGTTGCTTTACCAATAGGTAAATGCTAAACATGTGGCCAACAAGCCGAACATGAAGCTATTGAAAGGATGAATCTAAGAGTTGAGAAATTAGACAAAGATTTTTGTACACTTTGAATTATCTTTTCAATCAGAAACTATAAATAACTCACACTTTGTTTTCTGCAATATCAGGCTGCTAATTAAAATGTGAACATCAGCAGACCAGTAGTGGGCAGCGCCAAGGGTTTGTCATTAGTGTGTGAGCATATCTGCTATAACTATTTTGTGTACATATGCATGTGTATGCGTTGCTGTTTACAGAGTGTTGCTCCTCTCTGTATCACATGAGGAAAGCTGACCCTGTTGCAAAAACATGTCCGTGTGTCAGGTTTTAAAGTTTGCAACTCTGAATAATTTCACTGAAACGAGCTTCAGAAACATTACTTTACTGCAAATGAAATACTGAAAGGGATAGAAAAGCAGCAAAGTTTTGGAAAGTTTTTCAATAAGCGCTGTTAGCAATGTGTCATTCATTTTGTTTTCCTTTTGACTCCATGAAGATGTTTTCTTAGGCTGCATCTGAGGGGGTGGTTAGAGGACAACTCTTTACGCAGGTTCCATACAAAAAAAGTTTTCAAAATCCCAGTTTTTTTTTACTTTTGTAGAAAAGATATGAAAATGAGTCAGGCAATTGTTCACTGAAGGGTTTTTGTTTTGCCTCTTCTTTGTTACGTTCGACATCCATTTGCCTTCGGGTTTTCAACTTTGAGATTTCAATGACATTTATATAATAAGAAATGTCGTAAGAGAGATCCTGTTAATCACAAAAAGTAAAAAGAACAAACAAACAATATCGTGATGTTTTTGTGTGTGTGCAGCGGTGAGCTACATCCCTCAGACAGTTGTAGCACGGTCTGGGGAAAATGTCACGATGTATTGTGTCTTCAACGACCACAGCATGAATGCCAGCACGGCCACATGGATGCTCAACTTGAACCCCAATCAGACGCTTAATCGTAGTCTGTACCATCCGCTCAACCAATGGGTAAGGAACAAACATTTTCCTTCCAGGTTTTGTGTGTTTCTGGGAACATTTCCAACTAGTTTAATGACTTCCCTGTGTATTTTAAGAGAAGTCAATGTAAATTACAATTATTTTTATCTTTTCGTTCCCAAACCAGGTGAGCAAAATCACATTTCGTCCTTCAGAGACTCAGATGTATGCAGTGCTGCAGTGCAAGACTAAGAACTGGACCCAGGCACAAAGCCGGATCTATGTAGAAGGTAAGCCTTTTTGCGCGTTCACATCAAAGGTAAATATTACAGAAAAGAAACTCCATCTTTAGAAATCGTATATTTGCAGTATACGACATTGATGAGCGTTTCCTGTTGCGATTGTCGAACATCAACATATCCCCTCTGATCTTTTTGAAGTTCCTGAAAGTCCCTGTGTGGACAAAGGCAGGAAAGAGAGTGGTGACATGCCACAGAACAACAATGTGAACCAAAATAACCCCAGTACTCAGAGGCTACTTCAGGTGAAGTTTGTTATTGTGTATTTCTCTGTGTGTGTCCTAGGAGCATACATCAAAATAAACTGTGAAACCAGTGGTGATATCGATGCTATGGAATGTAGCTGGACGAACACGCTGTACACTAACCCTAAAATCAGATACCGGTAAGCTGGCATTTTACATTTTACAGTTACTGTCTCCATGGATGTTTTTGCAAGCTATGGCATTGTTAATGAAACATCTGAAGTCTGTGTGCTGAATCACACATTTCCTGGACAAAGTGTACCGGACATTTAAGTGAATACAGCCATAAGATATGTGCCAAAGGATATCGGGAAGTTTATTTCCTAAGTAAACAATAAGTCAACAGCAGTAAGGCTTCTGGCCTTACAGAAATACTAGGTCTTTACACTTTTAACACAGAAATACAATGAGGACTGACAGTATGATGGATTGAGTGTTTCATAACTCTCTTGTGCAACATGATTATGTACTCTGTTACCTCTAATTCTCCTGAATAGAGACTGAAAGAATACCTCATTCCATCTGGATATTATTATTTTTAAATGAGAACAGTTGTAATTCCAAGTGTTGTGTACAATTGTGTTCAATGTAGTTCTCATTTGCACAGTTATGTCACCAATCTTATTTGTGACTGCAAGTTTAATTGCTAAGATCTGGGAATGCAGCAATATCGCTGAAAAGGCGTGTAAGAGAAGAAGAAGAAGAAGAAGAAGAAGAAGAAGGGGCAAGAAACATGAGCTGTCAGACCATGATACATGTTTTATACAAATCCACACAATTATTTGGTTAAAGAAATTAGTTGTGCCTGAACCAGTTTTGCATGCAAATAAGCATTATGCAGATATTTGAGGTGTGATCACTTTCAGTTTCCCTCCATGTTTTGATAACCTGGCTAATCTTTTCTCTTGCCTTAACATATAATCACTTGAATCCAGCAAAAGATGTCCTTCTCCAAGATCATAGCAATTTCTTTGATGACTACAATGTCATCATATTCAATTAAAATGATGTTAAAAGCTTCAGAAATTACTTTGAATTATCCATTAATCCGGGACTGACATACTGTATCATTGTCTTTTGAGCTATAATGATCAGAGTATATTTTAGAAGTAATTTATACCCCTTTTTGTTACTCTCTTCAGGTGGGCTGACCTGCCGTGCGATGTGATGGAGAAGAGGGAACAAAGGGGGGAGGAAGTGGGGCAGACGGGGCCTCCTTGGCCTTCCTGCTTGCCGTTTCTTCGAACCATGAAGACAAAGTGCACCTTCCAGCCACTGAGGATGAACTGCTACAAGCTATGGCTGGAGGTGCCCTCCCTGCTAGGGCCCATCAGATCTAAACCCATCTACCTCACACCCACAGATCATGGTGAGCAAGACGGATTTGTGTGAGGAACATATCAAAATTAAAAAGAAGAGAAAAGGGGGATTTAGTTGGATTTGAAAGTGTTTTAAGATCAAGTGGCACTCCTCCCACCTCAACATCTTAGCCGTTTTACAGTATATCTGTCATTGATTTTGTATCAATGACATACAACGTTTTAACAAATTGCTTGAGACTTTGACCAAAGTGGAAACAGGGAATCTATCTTGTCCATCAAACATGAGTTGCCTCTTGTCATTTATGATAATATCATATTTCAAAATAAAAAAGCATGTGGAAATATCTACACAGTATTAGTTTTCTTCTGTTAAGTTTAGATATACTATAAAATAAATGTTGAAGGCAAAAATGTACTGCAGAGAAAAGCACTGCCACATTAAATATTCATACAGGAAACAGTTGTATGTTTGAAGAGAAGATTTTAAATATTGAGGTCGTAGTAGTGCTTACTAGTCACATAACAAAAAATGATTAACAGCATGAGATAAGAATGTAGAAATAAATATTTGTCAGGTTTTTTCATTACCTTTGATCATGTTTATTAGGTGTTCTGCAGCTGTAAGAGATTCACTCACTCTTCTATGCCATTACCCCTGCAGTGAAACCCCACGCCCCCACTAATGTGAAGGCAGTGACCCGGAGCAGTGGGGTCCTAAACGTCACATGGGAGCCTCCCTCTCTGCCCTCCGATGGGCTCCAGTGTCAGTTTCGGTACCAGGCGCCCTCCGCTGTCAGAGCACAGCCAGAGTGGAAGGTAAGCTGGTCTGTTGGACTGTTTACCAACCTCAGGCTTCACATCTCATTATCTTTCCAAAATGTTTTTCCCCCTGTAAGAAGGTAGTTTATCTTTCAAGAACTAGAAGTAAACCCTGTCTAGGACTCTGCCGGTAAATAAGTCTTAAATGGGACTATCATGCAAAATGCACTTTTTAATGTCCTTCATAAATAAATATGTGTCCCCGGTGTGTCAGGGAACTCACAAAGTGTCAGAAAATAAAACCCTCTCTCTTTTCCTCCGTACCCAAAACGGGGGAACAACGGAGCTGATCCAGATTTGCGTCCGATATGACGTAGTATCGGAAATGTGGGCTGGCTTTACACCCACGGCCCTATCAGAAACGTTGCTATCAGAAACAATGCCTGTCTGTTTTGGACGTAATATGGTCTTTGTTTATATAAGCAAGCATCGCTAACACTCAGAGCTAACCTGTAATGGAGAGAGCATGTGTAAAAAAGCAGAAAATAAAAAAAGGTACTCACCTTGTGGTAAACCCGCAAGAGAAAAAGCATTTGAGCTCCATACTGTTTCAGAAATAATCCTTGATGTGGTTTGGAACATGTCATGGCGTTTAATCACGGCAGCGTTTAGCTGTATCTGCCGGTAGAATTCTGAGCAGGCATTAGCTCCCCCTCCTCTTTTCTTTTTTTTGTTCAAGCTAAGGACCCCGAATCAGCAGTTCTCTAACAGGGCTGAAACAGAGGGATATGAGGGATGTCTAAAATGCATGATCTGTTTGGTATTTTGAGCAAAACACATTATAGACATTTTTTTATATATTTTTATTTTTATTTATATCTGCGACCCATAATATATGCCTAAAAATAGCATAATAGGAGGCCTTTAAATTACGCAAGATGCTTTAGCATAAACACAACGGGTCAGTTTGACATGATCTAAAATAATTTTATATTCCTGTCCTCTTTTGGAAATTGGAGACATGATATCAAATGATGAGAAAGACGAGGAAGCAAATGTCTATCTTTATTTGATTGAAGTATGGATGAAATCTCCCCAGATAAGCTATGTTTCTTTTAAATAAAATTACCACTTAATAACTGTGAAAATGTCATGCCTGCAGGTCCAGAGTCCAGTGCGGGAGAGGTGGGCGGAGGCTGTAGTGTCGGACATGTGCCGGGTGTACGTGGTGCAAGCACGCTGCATGCACACCAAAGGCACCGGCTACTGGAGCGAGTGGAGCGATTCAGTCTACTCCACTCCCCAGAACAGCAGAGGTACAGTTTGGCACCTTTACTTTCATCCTGATCTGAAAATGACTCCCATGATACACATTTCTTTATATTAGCCTATCATTTAGTTTAGACAGACATCATTATATTACTGTGATTCAAATGGTAATTTGCTATTCCCGCTGTGTTGAGCTTATTCAGCAATGGTTTCATTTATTTCATTACAGTCGGTTTTATGTTTTCAAAAAAGTAATGCAACATGTTTTAACAAAAAAGGAAGTTTGTATTACTTTTTTTTGTTAACCTTTGCTGTTCTGGAAGATGTGACAGGATGCATAAAGCTGTCCATCCTACTTTATTTGTAATTCAGAAAAGTAGTACCTCAGTTGATTTATTTTCTCAATTATGCAAGCCATTAAATTCTATATATTAGATATTATTATTATTAGGCTTTGAGGCGGTGTTGGTTGTGTTTGTCTTAGTGGTTGTAATATAGTGTCACTTCTGTGGGTATTAATGCTAAGAGTGTTTTACTGATTGTACTAGACCAAGAATTAAACTCTACCACTAACATAATGGTGAAAGCCATCCTCTAACGTATTGTTGGTCTGCCTCTCAGCTCCTGAACGTGGCCCTGATTTCTGGAGAATCCTTCAAGATGATCCACACAGAAACCAGACTAATGTTACTCTGCTATTGGAAGTAAGAATCTAAAACAAACATGTCCAGGCTTGTAATAACACAATTCAATCTAATAAAAATGTTATTTTTTGTTTTGCAGCATCTCCAAATATCCATGCGCTCTTACTGTGTGGATGGATTTATAGTGCAGTACCAGCCGTTGAGTGGCTCTGTGAGGAGGGAGCAGATGGAGCTGGCCTCCTCCTACAGCTTCCAGTGGAACCAGGTTCCCCAAACTGTGACCGTGGAGGCCTACAACAATCTGGGGAGCTCTGCTAACAACATCAACATGACACTGGAGAAACAGCCCAAACGTGAGTAAAGATTTTCATATTGTGAAAAATGTGTTTATTTGTATTTCTTCTGACCTTTTGAGAGAAGGAATTAAACATGTGTTCTCATACACACATCAAAGTCAACTTTAATGTCAATCTTACTCAGTTTGTGTTTACAGACAGAGAGATCGAAATTACGTTTCCAACAATCCCGAATATAAAATTATACAATATACAGATGTGTATACAGATATTTATAAAACGGACAAGTCAAATCAAGCAATCTGATTGGTTCTTAGCCGTGATATACTGAGCGTATATCACTGGTAGAATTGTAAGTTACTTTTCACAACAAGTCAGTATCCCTCCGCGTCTGAGAAAAACAGTATAAAGTTGGGCTGAAAAGCAAACTGCCTGCANGTCTTTGGAAATCGGATAGCAGATATCCCATAAGCTTAGAGGGGAGGGGTGATAGTTTACCCGTTTCCTAAACCCAAAACCCGAGAGGAGAGATGCCGCCAGTGGGCGGCATCTCTCCTCTCGGGTTTTGGGTTTAGGAAACGGGTAAACTATCACCCCTCCCCTCTAAGCTTATGGGATATCTGCTATCCGATTTCCAAAGACCATAAGCACAACGCTTCACCATTTTCGCAATGAATTTGAACGCTAAGCTTGTCGGACTTCCACAGGGAGCCGCGCACGTGATCGAATATGATTGGACAACGGGCATTTAGGGGCGCGGCTTTGCGAAAGGTCAATTGACCAATCATATCTTCCCTCTAAATGGGTGGGTGTTATTATCGTGGACTTTATGACAAGTTCCGCCCGCTGTGAAACTTTTCTTGTTTCCATAGCAACAACAACTTCCTGTCAACAGCGTTAACTCGCCTTCAAAATAACAGCATGCCAAATTACACTTAAGATATACAACTGCAACGAAAGTAACAAACACAATGCAATATCCTTTTCAATTTCAAAGAACACAAATAGGGTTATTTACAGGTGTTGTTTTGTGTGGAAGAGGGTCGCTTTCATTGATGCGTTTTGCACCCCGGGCCGTTGTTTTGATATTCCGCTGAAGTATACGCTGTGCCCAGAGCCCTAGAGAGATTTCTCTCTAGGGCTCTGGGGTGGGGGTCAGAGGGCCTAGCTATAAAAGTCACGGCTCGCCACTCTGTTCCCAAAAAGTCAAACAATATATGGCTTCTTTCTTTGAAATCCTGCATCTCATTTTGTTTTGAGGCAACAGTTGTGTTTTAGAAAAGAAGAAAAAGAATCCTGAGAAAAGACCTTGTTAGTCTCGAACTGGGTGATATTTATTTAGCTCAGGTGTAACTCCTTACGTAGGTTTGACAACTGGAGGGAAAACATTAATCTACTGTCAAAGAAGAGTACAGTGCTTTCATTTGGACAGCTATGCCCACATGGGCTCCACACGGGAAATCTATCCACCATAACACCATCAATCTAAAGTGTTAACACTGGTATGAGGCTGCTGCTGTGTTCTGTGGAGATGTTATAGTCATACACATCGTGACCAGTGCTACCTAAATAGAATCAGTTTCGCGCAAAAATTAAGCATACGATACAACCAAAATAAAAATAAGCAATAGGGATTAAGGTGTTCCTCTTCTCTAACTAAGAAGGCCAATCTTCTCATACACATTAATAACATCCAGAATTACATTCATAATGTCAGAATCTCTTTGCCAAGACGAAAGCCTCACAAAATCAATAGGACAAATTAAACTTGTCAAACTTAGTAAGTTGCTAACAAGTGCACTCATTTCAAATGAATCTATAGCATCCCTTGGACAAACCTCAGGGTATTTCTATGAACAATATAATACTTTACACAGTAAGATCCCTCCAATCTGTATTTCTTAGCTGAACCTCTATGGGGTGAGTTTTTATGCTTACATCAAACCTGAAAAGGATATATGTATAAATATTGTTCTATAAAAAAAGGCTATAACCAGGTGGAAGAATGCATACAAGCTAAGCTATCACAAGTGTTGTGATGGAGGTGAAACTCACCATTGGATACCAAGAAGATTTGCATCAGGACCGTCACTGTCACACACCAAACCCTGTAAAGAAACAAAGAGGGTGAGTGATGGAGGGATGGGCCGACAGAGGGAAAACGCTTGATATCGCAGTCGTACAAAGAGAAAAAACTAAAAACAATGTAGATAAGGAGAGAGCAACGAGATACAGATGATAACAATATTGAGTGAATCACGTATCAAGGGAACAGTTCATTTTGGATTGCTCCATGAACATAACACAAGTTTTAATTAGCATTTTATGATTTAGATGCCACTGAACAGCCAGTGCCAGGAAACATGAGTAGCACAGTACCGTGGAGGAACTAGTGTACCAACTTTTGTACAGACGTTACGCCAGACCTAAAGGATGGCGATAATTGGATGACCATTTTAGTTTTCACTTCATACAGCAATGTAAATTGCATGCAATTATGAGCTGTTTTGTTTTGTTTTAATTTTGTTGTATGTATGTTTATGTATGTTTTGAGTGTGTGAGGACCCCAGGAAGAATAGCCAATGCTCATGCTAGTACTAATGGGGATCCTAATAAAGACATAAAGACATAAAGTGGCTGCCAGGAGTGTTGCGACACAAGACCCTGGTCAGTGGTCAGTATTAACAACGTTTCAGTTCCACACCCCCTCCCAGGAGAGTGTAGCCATGTGTGACCATCACATCTCTGTGCAACAAGCTCCTCAACCCTTTCATCAACACATGACTCAGTTGTTGGAAAGAGGTGTCCTGTAATCACAGCTCATAATTGATTGTTCATTTTGTCACAATAAATTAACTTAAGAGCAGCATCACATGTATTTAGTCATCATATTGGGGGGTTTATCTCCCCCTAGTTGGGAATCCAAAGTATAGACACATCTGTGCTGTAGCCCAAATGTAAGAATGTAAATTGACAACCATGAAAATGCCATTAAAACAATATTTATATGTAATACACATTTAGTGTTTGGGCCATTTTCCACATTCAAATTCACTCATACCAGAAGCCTCAGCATGAATCACTAAAAGCACAAGAACTTGTCTGTCCTGTTATCATTGGCTTTAACATTAACCCTTAACTCTAATATTATGTAACTCCAATTATTCTTTTGTTTTTCTGCAATTATCTTGCTTTGCCGAACACTGTTATCTCTACAAGGTTATTTTTCCCGGCTGCAAAGAAAATAAATAAATTTACAGAATTATTGAATGTCCCGTTATTATAGATGCTCTCATTTTCCACTAACCTTTTATAGAAATACCATGGACATAAACGGTTTGAACATCTGCCCTGGCAGGAGGCTGCGATTATTTCTTACCATTTGCAACTGGCCTTATCACCATGGGCCAGGACCGCCACTGACATACAGTACTTGCATATTCTCTATACTTTAGCTTATTCTTTGGATAATTGTTTGCACATTCCTGCACGTCCTTCATTTTTAAAACAGGTAGTTAATACATATTCTTTCATTCAAAAACCAAAACTCTCCATATTTGTATTTGCATATTTTTTAAAGCTTTTATCTTTTAGTTTATCCTACTATGATTATTGTTCTGCACCAAACACCTAGGCTCATTCCTTGTAAGTGTAAACCTACTTTAAAACCTGTTAGTGTATGTTTTCAGAACTGTATAACACCCACGTCCACTTAGACCATCTTCATCCATATATTGCAATATACTTACATTGTAGTGGTCATAACAGGAGCATTTCCTAGCTGAGCTTTGGCTGGTGTCAATCCCACTGCAAAAGAGAAAGGTGGAGAAGGCTTTAATGATTTAAGTGCTGCAAGTCAAAGCAAGTTTAAATCTGGCAAGACTGAAGAATCTGTGGAATATAATAAAATAAGGGTATTAGCAAAAAGGTACATTTGAAATTAAAGATTGCTTGGTGGTGTTATTCAAGGCTTTTCTTAAAGGGGACCTATCATGCAAAATGAACTTTTGTACGTCTTTTATACATGAATGTGTGTCCCCGGTGAGTCAGGGAACTCACTCATGCATGATCTGTGTGGTATTTTGAAAAAAACAACTTCACAGACATGTTTTATATAGGTATGGCCCTACAATATATGTTTCAAATATAGCATGATAGGTCCACTTTAAGACAAATCCTTATTCAGAGTCAGATTTCTCACTGACAGGAGTACCTACCACTCTCTCAAATATTGACTTGACTGAACTAGCTCTAGTCTTACTGTAATTAACAAACTAAACTAAACTGACCAATGGAAGCAACAACGATTATTTAGGAGATGAGACCACAATCAACAACCACCAGTGTTTACCATTAAATCCATAAAGAGGTTGCAGATATTTGTTTATAGTTTTCACAATATTACAGCCTTTGTTGTGTTATAAAAATCCACTGCAGTTGATGTACTCAGTACCTTACAAGTAATTTAACACTTCAATAAATATCCATCATCCTTTAAAGATAAGCATTATCTACTTAATAATAAAAAGGTTTGTCAGCATCTTTCTTCTCCTGTTTCCTAGCCTATTTAGGAAAATATTCGGATCAAGACAACACATGTTAAACTATTTTTCAAATGCATAAGAGGAAGCTCTGCTCTGTTGCTCCATGTCCCCAGGGTCTCCGCCGCCCTCGCCCCCCTCTCTCAATGTTCTCCAGGTCTGACTCACTCTCTGTCAGGCTTTGCAGTGGAAGCGCGTCGGGGCTTGTTCCCCCCATCAAGCATATATTTCTGACAAGTTATTCTCCTTTTTTCCGAAACAACCAACAAACATGTCAATCGTGTCGCTAAATTTCCCATTTAAAGAGGTTCTCCTAACAAGTTGTTGAAAAGATGCATCGTGAGCAACAGCACATTTCACCAAGTCCTATTTCTCAATGGAAATAAAATCAAAAGTTGAATAAAAAATACGCAGAAAGGACAGGATAGAACACAAAATACGTCAAAAGCGAAAAGAACGTGTCAGTTTGACAGAAGTGGGGGCGTAATTCCTCACCTGTGTGATAGACAGCCCGCCTGAAAGGTAACAAAAACGGTCGGGAGCCCGACCACAAACACAGCAATGTGAATAAAAGCGTTAAACTGAGCATGAATAAGGAGAGAGTGTCCTTACATCTCTCCTGGAAGTTTCTTATGCTTTGGTGCTCGAGTTTTCTTTCGTCCTGGTCCCAGAGTTTATCCAGGGGAGTTTAAATCCTGAGTGAAGAAGACACATGTGCTGCTGTCAGAGTCCGCTGTCCATGTTTGAGTCTGTGTCTAACAACAACAGCGAGCAGGATATCCCCCTCACTCGTTGTATCTTCACTCGCGCCGCTGCACTTGCTTTGACGTAAAGACCACCAGAGCCTCCTCCAGGCGTTAAGAAAATGTGAATGAAGCCTGGAAGGGAAGACTCCATGGATGTACAATAAGGGGAAGGCTCCCTCACAACAGCGCCCTGCCCACCGTGATGCGTTCAAGAACACCTACGGAGATCTCATGACTTAAGATGCTGACCTTTTGGAACAATCATTTGTTTGGTATAAAGAACAGCAACACTTAAAGGTTGCATTTATAAATGCTACCAAAAAAACTTCATGCATTAAAGTCCCCTGTTGGCTAAATTACATCAATAGGTTTGGGAAACAATGCCAAGTTGCTAAATATTTTGAATGGAAAATATTCAAAAGCGTTCCGTGAAATACAGTAGCCTACAATTATCATCAGTAAAAATCACTTAACACATGTATGGTCCTCCATCAGAGGACGTGAAAGACAATAGTATAGCAACACAAGGATATTGCTGAGGAGACTAGTAGCCTGCAATGTTCCTGATTTGTTCTTGTAGTATAAGTCAGTTCAAAAGCAATCTGAAATATGTGGGTTACTCTGTACATTTGGAAAGGTCACCACATTTCAGGCTTTCTATTTTAACACAAGAACACCAGTTTCCCTTCTTAAAATGTTGGTGTTTTTCATTCCCATTGCATAAGACAAAGCAAAATAAAATGCTATCGTAAACGCATGTTCGCTTACAGGATTCCAAATGATATGTTGACATTGTTTCTCTAAACAGCAACCACTTGTTGTCAGCTATATTTAATGATAAGTATACTGCTGGCAGCAAAACGAGCAAGCTGATACAAAACTATTTGAGCTCCCTGACGTCTGTTTTTCTCTGATAATCACTCCCTCTGATTTATCTTGCTTATAACAGAAACAGAATGCTTCTGTCAGTTAGACCCAATAAATGTTCCTCATATCAGTAAACAACACATTTATTTTTATTTTTATTGGGGTAGCTGCGTGAAACAGGGACAAACACAGGTGTAAACAGTCTATATGTCTCCCAGTGTTATGCAGGCTTTGGCTGACAGTTTACCCTCTTTAAACCCCCACTTTTTTATATCTGGGAAATCAATTCTCCATCCAGATGTGGATCCTTGGCCACACCACAAAGTAAACATTTTACAAATGCCAACAATCAGCCAGTTAATAATGTGTTATTCAAACAGAAATTATGTCTGTGTCAGTATTACAGTGATCTTAACATAGAAGAGTGAATGATAAATTATTTAGTTGTACGAGCGCTGTGGCCTGAATTGTGCGTTTCCTTTATATATTCTTCCAAAATATTTAACTTACAAAGCACACCAGCTGAAAACACAGAACTTTTATGCTGCCTGGTATTTCCCATATGTTTACAATTACAACGTATTGCTTTAATGTGCAGATGTTGAGTATAGAACTGAACAAACAGTTAAGTTCACTTCAATGTAAAACACAGGTTTTGTTTGCGTGAAGAGAATAATGCTGGACATTCAGAAATAAGGATGACTAAATCAACACTCATTTGTGCTTAGTTCAACAACCCAATCTTTAATAGATGTGAAGTTTCATAGGAAAATATACCGATTTTGCTAAGGGTAAAATATAACAAAAACATAAAAAACAACTGAGTTCTATCTATTCACACTTGTAGCTTGGGGAGTGCAGTGCTAAACATTGACCGAAGCACATCTACTTTACTAGGATAATTACTTTTACAATTGGTTGTTTACTACAGTTTGTATTCAAGTATGGTCCACCAGCTCTCTGTTCTTTCACAATCAATACAAGAAGGTTAAATGCAATGTTCCCAACACACCTGGCTGCTGGATTTATCAATAGCTGTCTGCATGTGTGTACCAAGGCCTGGGAGCTGCACCAATTATCACTATGCAACAACATATGGAATAAATAATTAATTTAGATGTGATATAACTACAATAGTAAACATTTCATAAACTGACGTTAGCAACAGTAATTGTCAGGCAAAGTTAATATAATGAATACAAGCTATCAGCTGTTCTGTCTGAAGGTGTATTCTAATAAAGTTGAGGTGTCAATATACACTCCCATACCTTTGATAATGCATTATACTTTATTGGTATGTTGTGGTTAGACAGTCAATACGGTTGGAGTGAGTGTTATAAATGGAAATAAATTAAAGGTCCCATCATATGCTTTTCTGGTTATTACCCGTCCCCTTGTGTGTTATGTAGCTTTTTCTGCATGTAAACGGTCTGCAAAGTCAAAAACCCTCAAAGTAAATCCTGTAGTGATTAAAAGTCTAACACAGAAAAGACGTGTCTATGCTGCCCCAGAACGCCTCGTTGGAGATTTAATTTTTCAATTTTTTTCTTCCGGGGCCCATTGACGTCACTAAGTCCAAATGGACCAATTGGCACACCCTCTGCCAGGGTGGACTCCCGCGCAGCTCAGGAGTCCACCCTGGCAGAGGGTGTGCCTATTGTTCTATAGCTCCCGGAACGGACAGTGTGAGGTGGATTTCCCGCTGTGTTTCCCTGGATGCTGGATATAGACCAAGTGCCATCGTTAGCGGGACATTGCCCCGCTAACATGGCACGCAGACCCCACGCAGCAACCAGGAAACGACACCAGTAATCCACCTCACACTGTCCGCTCCTTCAGCCCCACAGGGCGGACCAGCGAGCCCCGCAACGTCCCGCCAACACGGGAACTATGTAAATATATTCTAGTAGACCTCAACAATGGAATTATGATCAGTAGAAATGGCCAAAACATGGGACCTTTAAAGATGGCTGAATTCCATTTACAGTAGATGCTTTGATTAAAGGTTCCTAGTAATGCTGCATGCTAGCTCACTGACTCTCTCACTGGAAGAATTGAAAATAACAGAGGCCTCATTAGTGTTATAAAGAACTATACTTTCCTGCAAATGGATGCTGTGAGAAAGAACCACATTGACGACAAACTCCACTCCTTACAAGGTTAACATTTAATTTTAAGGCTAGACTTAATTTGGCCTCTCTGAAGAACCAGCACCTTACCGTGGTAGAGAGGTTTGTGTGCCCTGATGAACCTGGGGGTTGTGTTGTCTGGAACCTTGTGTTCCTGGTAGGGTCTCCCATGGCAAATTGGTCTCAGGCAAGGGGCCAGACTAAGATTGGTTCACAAGACCTCATGAAAGACAACACACGAAGTGAGGATACCCGGCCCGGAGAAGGCAACGTGGGCAACACCTCCGCTTCTCCGTCCCGCGGGCCCACCACCTACGGGAAACAGCGATGGGGTCGGGTGCGCTGCCAGAAGGGTGGCAGTGAAGGCAGAGGGTCTCGACGGACCAGACCTGGGCGACAGAAGCTGGCTTTGGGGACGTGGAACGTCACCTCTCTGGGGGGGAAGGAGTCGGAGCTTGTGCGGGAGGTGGAGCGTTACCAGTTGGATCTGGTTGGGCTCACCTCTACGCACAGCGTCGGTTCTGGAACCTTACTTCTGGATAGGGGTTGGACTCTATTCTTCTCCGGAGTTGCTCAAGGTGTGAGGCGCCGGGCGGGTGTGGGGATACTCACAAGTCCCCGGTTGGGTGCTTCNAGAGAGAGAGAGAGAGAGAGAGAGAGTTTTTGTGGACGCGGTGCTCCGAGGCCCGTCGCCGCGACAACTTTCAATTTCATATTCTCGGGACGAGTTGTGTGTACCTTTGCGCGTGGTACTGTTACTCCCGTGCTATTTCAAACACCGTGTCTACCTTCCGACCTGTCCCGTCCATACCGGTAGTCAAACAGAATCGGCCGCCGAGTCTACTAAAACCACCACGAAAATGTCGCGATGCCGAAGGTGTCTTATGTTGTTTTCACAATAGAGCTCGGACACATGGATGGGGGGAAATTGACAATGCTAAACAAATGAAGGCAAGAGATTATCATAAAATTGTTTATAAAGAACGTGTTTTTGAGAGAGAGAGAGAGAGAGAGAGAGAGAGAGAGAGAGAGAGAGAGAGAGAGAGAGAGAGAGAGAGAGAGAGAGGTTGTAAAAAATAAGGTAAGAAATCATTCCAATGTGTGCTATAGGACAGTAAAAAGTGATTATTAAAATATGCATAAATAAAAAGAATATTTTAAAGATGTTTGGATTATTGAAAAGTATACAGTTCCCTTTCATCTGAGTGTTAAGAGAAGTATCCATAAATTCATGTTGTGCTCAAAGTGCACCAGATTGATGCATTTCACTTCAACATTTAAAAAAAAAATCTTCCCGGGGGTGCATACCCCCCGAGAGGATGTGAGGTCCACCCCCCAATAAAGCAGGTTAAAATAATTAAATTGAATACATTTTATTTTAGTAAACACTGAAAACGGATCCCACAGACCCAAACAGCACACAAAGGTTTAAATGTGCTAAATATATACACTGCAAAAAAAGAGGAGTAAAAGTAGCTCATGACTTTCTTTCATTTTTTGAAAGTAGCTCTCATCCTAAAAAAGGTTGGAGACCCCTGTTATAGAACGATATATTTGACCATTTTAAGCTTGGCCTACCATTTGATTTGAGCGATGAGGAACAGGTGAGGCTTGAAAAGGCCCACCTGTTCAAAGTGGGGAATGACAGAAAAAGTTTGAGAACCACTGGGTTAATATAACACTTTTTTACTACACTGTATTTACTATGTTTCGGTAGTGACCATTTTTGGTAGAGGAAGATCATTCCAATGCAGTCTAAAAATACGATATAAAAATGTACGGTTCTTTTACTAGATATATGTAATTTAGATATGGTACAAAATATATATGGACAAAGTTTTGGGAAAAAAACATACCCAAAACATACAACATTTCAAAACATTTGCAACCTGACTTTGGTCCAATTCGGTAGAATGGCCCATATATTGAAAAATATTACCTAGTGTCTTTAATCAGGGAGGACATGAGAGGAATTATTTCCTTTTACAAAAAATGTTTTATTATTCCTTAAAAAAATAAATATAAGACATAGCATGTACTCATGCCAAACACACACATTAGCGTTTTTTAATTTCCAATAAAGTGGTGCTGGCCAACGTTTAGACAAATGGGACCAGTCAAATATTATCCGTGTTTATTATTGAGTTTGATATATTAATAAAGAATGACATCATCAAGGCATCAAGATTTATGTTTAAGCATGCTGGACTCGTACATTAAGCCCAACAATTGATTGATTGAAACACAAATAACGCATGCCTAAGCCATTTCTCTTAACTCAAAGAGTTTCCCCCGCATATTCTCAGATACCATAAAGCAGAATATAAACAAACTAAAATTCTTATAGACTTGTCTGGCTCATTATATTTAAATAAAGGTGTGCTGCTGCCGACTATATATATTTTGTTGTGCAGAGTGAATCCTCTCTCTGCCGGCACACTGGAGACTGGATCACAGGTCGGCCCACTCATCGTAGAGCTTTCACAGAATTCACTAACAGTATGCAAGCCGTTGAGAAATTTGGAAGCCTCCATAACTCAGGAGCGTTCACCCCAGGCTCTTTTCTCGTGGCACAGATCAGAGCGGCTGGTTGACATGTGTATTCAGACTTCTTTTAATGCACTTCAAATTGCGCTTAGGGGGAATGATATTACATTTTGACTACAGGGATTTGTTGTACTTCATACATTGGTGGGATGTAACTAAGAACTTGTACTTTACTTGAGTATTGTCTCATCTTGCTACTTCATACTTTGACTCGACTTGGCAAATGTTGTACTTTTTACTCCACTAAATTTATTTTACAGATTAAGAGACTACCGTAGTTACTTTGCACATTTAAATTATAAATACAAAATATAAATCAACCAAATATCAATCATACAATAATTCCGCACATTTCCAGGTGCAACACTGAAGTTATGAACACATGAATGCATCAATAATTATAATACAATAATAACTTTTGGTAATTAAGTATAATATTATGCATGTACTATTGTACTCTTACAGTACAATACAGTACAATTTTCAATGCAGATCTTATACTTGTATGTTGACACTGTAGTATTGCTACTTTCAATAATCTGAGTACTTCTTCCATCACTGACTTCACCATCAAACATAAGAGTTTGGTGTGTTTTTGTGTTCATTATTTAGTTTGTTTATGTTTATCTTCACCTCACTGCGCCTGCCTGAACAGAACATGTTAAATGATTAAATGTTCTTTTGCTGGATGGTGCAGGTCCACGGGTCAGTGGGTGAGCCCTGGTGGTTGTGGGTGGAGGACCCCATCAATGACCACATATACCACTCTGAGCACATCCTGCTGCAGAAGAAACAGGTCAGTCATTGTTTTACTTGCTTGTATTGTCCTTGTGTTTCTCAAAGAGTGTTTCCTGATTTGTGTGTGTGTGTGTGTGTGTGTGTGTGTGTGTGTGTGTGTGTGTGTGTGTGTGTGTGTGTGTGTGTGTGTGTGTGTGTGTGTGTGTTCCTGCAGGTGGTGTCAGAGGAGCCTCAGCACATCGTGTTCACCATCCCTATCTTTGAGCCGCTGCCCTCTCAGTACTACATCAGGGCGGTGTCCGACCGCTGGCTGGGGGCAGAGGCCGTCTGCATCATTAACTTCCAGAACCTCATCTTACCCGAGAGACACCCCCCACACACTGGTACACACACTCTCACACACACACATTTATGATGTGACAACAGGGGTTTGACTTAACTTGCTTTGAATGTAAAGCACTGACACTTATTGAGTGAGAGCTGACCTCTGCTGAAGGCTCCCAGCTGTTAGACAACAGTTGCTTCAGTCCCCTGTCAGAGCCAGTACTGCATGCTGTAGTACAGTCAGGGGGGGAATAACACACTCCATTACTTCAGTGAAAGTATCACAATGTTGGAATGCTCACTTACAGGTAAAAGCCCTGCATTTAAGGTCCTATGTGAGAGTACAATAGTTCTATAGGAAAATGAAATTAAAGTATCAAAGTAAAAGTGATATAATAGAGCTGTATAATGTCTCCTGTGATTGATCAGTTATTATATATGACATTATCAGTAATATTGGATGATTTGATCATAGCATGGCTCAAGCAATTATTATTTATAAAAAAAAGTATATAGAGATCTAAAGGGGTTTTATGTCAAAGTTAGTAACAAAAGCTGTCATATCGTGTATTAAGAGTTACAATATTTCCCTTTGAAATGTAATGGAGTAGTAGAATAGTAAAACAAAAATGGAATTAGTCAAGTTTAATTTGAAGGTACTTTATTCCAGTGTACGATTTGTACTATTTTTCCTTCTTATCCTGAACCGAAGCTTTTTATAAAGTCTAGCATTGGCTAAAGTCAGAGGATAGTTTGTCTAAAAACAGCAGCTATAATTCACAGTGAGCTTAAATCAGCGGCTCTCCACCACATAATGAATTATCTGTTTGGAAGCTGCACTGAGGCATCACAACTCCATGTGGAGCGGAGAAGAAAGCATCTAATCCTCCTGTACTCCACTCATTCACTCCTCAGACTCTAAGAAAGGAAGCATTCATAATTTCTGACCACATTCCCCCTCAGACATAATTACAGCCATATCAGAAAGAATCCCAGAGCACCGAAGAGATGATATCACAGGCTGCAGGAGCTTAATGTTTCTCCAGTCTTTCAGTTAAACAGGCTCTTACAAAAAAGACTCAATTTGCCATATTTATTGAATAATTTCACATGAGAGATTTTGATATCTTGGCTTCAATTCACAAACTGAAGCAGCAGATATATGGTGGATTACTGATGAAAAGCACTGAGGGTCATGGAGGAACTACAGGGACCAGGAAAGGTGTTTTTATTTGGGAGACGTTTACAAGCAAGTGTAAGCATAATCTTTGGTTGGATGGAGGGATCATGTTCATAAGCTGAGGAATAGTGAGATGGCTGTGTACTGGCCAACAGAAACCACATTGTGTGTGCAGCGCAAGTGTAAGCATAAGTGTCAGTGAATTGTCAGAATAAATGCCAATAATTCGGAGATCATCAAAACCATGTAATAATTAAGTATAAAACAAGTGTGTATTCTTTTTTATCTACCTCCAAAAAATACAAAAACACTATTATTTTAAACTTTGATTAATCATGATGAATCACAGAATATTTGTGATTAATTACATTTGTGTTTGATTGACAGCTCTTATTTTTATATTTCATTATTGGTAGAGGAAACGGAAGAGAAAAGCAACACAGTGTTTCAATAGGTGAAATTGTTTGAATGACTTATATGAAAGAAGAAGCTCTGAGAAACAGAACTATGACTCATTTATTAAATAATATAAGTTATAGTGATTATCAGCTTTTCCCTTGAAGATTCTTGTGAAAACCACTATGGTAGTGCCTGGAAAAACCAACAAACATGGATCCTTCATGTCAGCCCAAGTCTGTCATTAAAGGTTCAGTTTTGATCATGTTTGCTGGAATATTCAGAATCAGATCTCTCTGAAATAAATCTGGTTCCTCCTGCCCCCCCTCAGTGCTCGTCATGAAAGAATCCAGCAGGCCCCCAAAGGAAAGCAACCAATCAGAGCTGTGGAGTGTCAGACACAGTGAAGCCTTCTCAATTCTCTAATTTCCCCTCCTCGACTCCTATCCTCGTGACTTAGTCCCGCCCACAGGAGATGCGAGCGGAGGACTGAGGAGGGGAACCGAGGAGAGAGGAGGAGAACCAGCAGGCGGTTAGAGAAATGAGAACTGGTCGCTACAATGAGGAAATGAAATTACGGGCCAAAAGTTGTATTTACAAGTATTAAAAGTAAGCAGAGGACACCAAACCAACTGAGACCTGTCTGTCTGCCGCATCTACACACTGTACAACACACACCTACATACTGTACCACGCAAACACCTACAGCTCCAAAAGCATAATCAGGCTACAGCCGTTGTGTATTTTATTATGTGAAGCACTAAATGGTCTTAGAAAAATATGGACTCTTTGTTTGTAGATATCTACTAAACTAAAGCAAATAAAGAGAGTAGGCCTGTTATACTGAGTGATATAGATTAAACACACTGCTCTGCTTTCTGCACGGACCTCACAGCTGTTCTCTCTGGAAACATCGCGACGCGATGAAAGCAGTTTCTAAAATAATATCCAGGAGATGCATGCAGAGCTGTCATTGGCTGAGATAAGTCTGGCCGTGCGTCACGCCTCCACCGTTCCCGGAAATGCATCCGCGGAGGAGCCGTGGAGGGCACTCATCGGTATTCCTCGGTATAGCTCCTCCCAGAGGGCCTCCTCCGACGCTCCGATCCTCGGACCGTGTGCATTTAGAGAGATGAGATGCTCCTTCACATGGTGGTGCTGAATCCTTTCCGGGTCACTACCGGAAGACCCGAGGAGTTTTCGAGAGTAGGAGGGGAAAATTAGACGGATTGCGAAGACCTTCAACGTGTCAGTCAGCGCTGCAGACTTCGGATTCTACGTCTTAAAATAGACCAAATGCGCTGACATATCACACTTCTCTTCCTGTACCGTCTTGTACTCCACCATCCACGTCTCGTAAAACCTAAACTGCTAGGTATGACAGCTGATTAGATATGATCAGGACTGCTTGCACTTCAGAAAAAACAAAATGTCTACATGGAGAACCAGCAACATTATCTGATAACACTGAGTGCAGCCTCATACCTGACACTTTGTTTGTTCCGCGGCGGTTTTTTATTATCTGATAACTAGCCAATCGTGTTGCCATCAGACGAACACAGCAGCAACTGTACGTTAAGAGATAAAACAGTATCGCTTGTCACATTGCTTATGAAACATGTGTCTTCATTATTAAATAGATCTGGAGGCTGTCACTTTCAAGTTGAGTTTAGTGGTTTTTGACCCAAGAAACACTGGAATGCATTAAATCAATAACAAATAATCCACAGCTCCTCTCTCCTGCTCCAGACGATTTAAAGGTATATTATATCCCAATGCCTACAAAAATGCATCCAGGACGTGGGTTGAAATCTTGTCTCCTTAAAAACAAAAAACTGAACGAGCTGTATTCATGACTGGTTTGAGTGGCTCTGCAGTAACATAAAAACAAAATGTGGGCTCTTACGGGCCCGTCCACACTACAGCTTCGACATCTTCAATTAAACGGTCTTCAATGCGTCGCCCATTCACTAGTTGAATGAGGAGTGACGTCACGTTGCACTCGCTTTTCGCCGAACTGAATTAAGGAAGGTAGCAGAGCGGAGCTTTCTGGCGTTTCAGCTGCAAAAGTTGACAGTATGTTCACTTCTGAAGCGGAGGGACGCCGGATAGCCAGCGTCAAGCCAATAAATCCCGTTAGCAAATCTTGACAGTTACAATCGCGGTTAGCCAATCAAAACCGCGCGTGCAGCTAGGGAGAGGCCAGAACCGCAGATTACATTCCTCAGTATTCCAAACGAAGCAAAATTTACGGTAGCACAATCACCCGTCTCTTACGACGCAGAAACTAAATTACTGAGTCCAGAATACATTAGCCGGAGAACCAGGCGATGGAGACGGACAGGGGGGCAGAGACATGGGTGACAACTGGTAGACGTTTTCGCCGATGTATTAAGGGAGTTTATAAATTGATATATATTGCTTACGACTAAAGATCCCCAGGGTAGTTTATTTGCTTGTATGCGGGCTAGGACGAAGACGCGAATCATCCGGGATTGGTAATGTGGTCGCAGCAGATTGGCTTGAATAAAATCTAACCCAAGCTCAGACACTCCAGCTCCAGCTTTTTTGAAAATCTATAGTGTAGAACGGGCTAATAACCGGTAGGTAGGTCCAGCGCCGAACTAAGGTGCTGCCAACATTTCAATCATCAGAGTTACGGTGTGAATTTGTAAGATGTTACCAAAAAGGCGAAGATACCCTTATCTGCCAACCAGATGCTACATTGACGAGCATCTGCAAAGTCTCATCAAATGCCCAATGTCATCGCTATAACGGATGTAAGACCCTACATTAGAGTATAGAAGTTTTGCGAAATACCTATCTACTCAATGGACATTATCACTTATGTCCTTCCACTGATTCGACATTTTAGAGAGCACTACATCGTAATAGAATCGTCCAGCACTCAGAAAAAACATTGACACCTGAACAAGAAATGGAGCAGAGCAGAAATAGAAACTAAAGTGGTTTCTCTAAGAACACACAGCCTACAGGTGGGAGTAACCATAAGCTTACGGAAACGACAGCTCACTCAAATCAAGTTTGAAAGGACTAGACAAAATAGCACGT